TTCCCTGAGCAGTTTGGCCCGGAGGCGTCGCAGGCTATCCACACTGCACTCCAATCCCAGCAGGACATCTAGCTTCCTCTGACGACAGTTCTGAGCAGCCATTTTGTTTTTACCCCTGCGGCGAATGTCTCTGAGAAGCGTAAGCTGAGCCTCATTGAGATGATATTTGGCTAGCAAGCGATTGAACTCATCGACAGGTAAGTTTACGATGCGTTCATTGGAGAACGGGATATTTATCAAACTTGCGCGTTTCTCATCTCGGCTGGAAAAATGATCCAGCACTTTGTTTTTTGGCAACTCGTCGGAAAGATCTTTTGGAGATTTCCTCTGGCTTTGAGGTTGGTTGTAGGTATGATCGTGTCCGATGTGCTCGAGCCAAGGAAGGCGATGAAACTGTTTGGCTTCCAAAAAGCTTGATTGACACATTTTGGTTTGTTCTGGCATGTACCCGCCCACAGCTCCATCCTCTGCCTTGATATGTGTGTAGCTCACAGCGACTTCTTCGGGCATCAAACTAGGGGTTGGGCTGGAGAGTGATGAAGAGCATGAAGAAGATGAGGAGGAACTGGAAGATTCAGATCCACTAGGAGAGGCAGGGCTTTGACTGTAGTCCAAGGATAAACCAGAGTCAGAATCTGCTGGGTTTTGCTCTTCAGACTGTACCTGGCTAAGTTCTTCCAGAGCCAAATCCATTAGCTCCATCTCAACAAGCATGGCTTCCTCAAGAAGAGGATCTATAGGGCTTGGCAGGCTAGTCCCAGTAGTCAGAAGGAGGTCTATGATATCAGAGTCTTCAAAAGCCTCTGAATTAAAAGAAGTGTCCAAATTAATGTTTGGCATGGAGTTGTTGTTTATGCAACAGGTTTCTTCCATGGTGACACTGTTTTGTGCTTCAGTGGATCTTGGCAGAGTGGCTTGGTGAAGGCTAACATCCTGATGAATAAAGTTTTCCATTGATCCAGTATTTCTGTCTGAATCACTGTTACTGAAAGTAGAATTGTCTATTGTTTCGGCTGTATCCATGTCCTGTAAAGATAAGAGAAGTCAAATCGAGTTTTCAGACTGCCTGGTCAATAAAACATGTCACCTGCTCCATATATTCTAAGTCTTTGACCTATAAACTTATTTTAAATTGTCAATAAAAAAA